ACAGCGGGACACACGAGCCGCTGTCGTTGAAATGGCGGCAGGCCTGGGAGGGACAGACGGACAGATGGACATGGGATGGACAGATGGACACGGGGGTGGACACAGGGATGGATGGACAGATGGACACGGGGGTGGACACGGGGATGGACAGATGGACACGGGGGTGGACACGGGGATGGACACGGGGATGGATGGACAGACAGACATGGGATGGACACAGGGATGGACACGGGGATGGACACAGCGGGACACACGAGCCGCTGTCGTTGAAATGGCGGCAGGCCTGGGAGGGACAGACGGACAGAGGGACATGGGATGGACAGATGGACACGGGGATGGACACGGGGATGGATGGACAGATGGACACAGGGGTGGACACGGGGATGGACACAGGGATGGACACGGGGATGGACACTCAGGGACACACGAACCGCTGTCGTTGAAATGTCGGCAGGCCAGGGAGGGACAGACGGACAGATGGACACAGGGATGGACAGATGGACACGGGGGTGGACACGGGGATGGACACGGGGATGGACACGGGGGTGGACACGGGGGTGGATGGACAGACGGAGATGGGGATGGACACAGCGGGACACAGGAGCCACTGTCGTTGAAATGTCAGCAGATCTGGGAGGGACAGACGGACAGATGGACATGGGATGGAGAGATGGACACGGGGGTGGACACGGGGATGGACATGGGGATGGACATGGGGATGGATGGACAGATGGACACGGGGATGGACAGATGGACATGGGATGGACACAGCAGGACACAGGAGCCGCTGTCGTTGAAATGTCAGCAGGCCCGGGAGGGACAGACAGACGGACATGGGATGGACACAGCGATAGACAGATGGACATGGGATGGACAGATGGACACGGGGGTTGGACACAGGGATGGACACAGGGATGGATGGACACTCATGGACATGGGGATGGACAGATGGACATGGGGGTGTAGAGATGGACAGATGGACACGGGGATGGACACGGGGATGGTCACAGGGATGGATGGTCGGACACATGGGCACATGGACAGACAGACTGACATATGGACAGACTGACAGACAGACAGACAGACGGACACACGGACAGACACACAGACAGACAGATGGACACACGGATGCACAGACACAAGGACAAACAGACAGAAGGGCAGACGGACGGACACATGGACAGACTGACGCACGGACAGACAGACACACAGACACACGGACAGACACACGGACAGGCGGACGGACGGACGGGCACGTACGAAGCAGTGGGTGCGCAGGGGCCCGGTGCAGCCGCCCGCGCACTCCTCATGGCAGCACTCGTTGGGGGCGCGGCCGAAGCAGCGCCCGTTGCACTGCGGGGCACAGATGGTCTTGGTCACTGCGGGGACACGCGGGGACATTGGGGGGTCACGGGGGGCCGGGGGTGACCCCAAACTCCCCCCCACACACCCCCCCGGAGCCCCCCGGTACCCACATTTCTGACAATCCTCAGGGCCCGGCCCCCAGCAGTGACCGCCGCAGCTCTCGTGGCACGGGGCACCTGTGGGACAGAGCAGGGTCACCCCAAAGGGACCCCAAAAATAGGGGGACACCCCAAAGGGACCCCGAAAATAGGGGGACACCCCAAAGGGAACCCAAAAATAGGGGGTCACCCCAAAGGGACCCCCAAAACAGGGGGGACACCCCAAAGGGACCCCGAAAACGGGGGGACACCCCAAAGGGACCCCGAAAATAGGGGGACACCCCAAAGGGAACCCAAAACTAGGGGGTCACCCCAAAGGGACCCCGAAAACACAGGGACACCCCAAAGGGATCCCAAAAACAGAGGGACACCCCAAAGGGACCCCAAACACAGGGGACACCAAAGGGACCCCAAAACCAGCGTTCACCTCAAACCCAGGGGTGAACCCCAAGGGAGCCCCAAAAAAGGGGTCTCTCCAAACCCAGGGGTCCCCAAAAACACAAGAGTGACCCCAAAGGGACCCCAAAAACAGGGGTGACCCAAACACAGGGGTGACCCCAATGTGACCACAAACTCAGGGGTGGCTCGAAACGGAACCCAAAGGGACCCCAAAAACAGGGGGACACCCCAAAGGGACCCCAAAAACAGGGGTGACCCCGCACCCAGGGGTGACCCCAAACACAGGGGTGACCCCAAACACAGGGGTGACCCCAAAGCCAGAAGTGACCCCGCACCCAGGGGTGATCCAACCCCAGGGGTGACCCCAAAGCGACCCCAACCCCAGGAGTGACCCCGCACCCAGGGGTGACCCCGCAGCCAGGGGTGACCCCGCAGCCCCCGCAGCCAGGGGTGACCCCGCAGCCAGGGGTGACCCCGCAGCCCCCGCACCCAGGGGTGACCCCGCAGCCAGGGGTGACCCCGCAGCCCCCGCAGCCAGGGGTGACCCCGCAGCCAGGGGTGACCCCGCAGTCCCCGCACCCAGGGGTGACCCCGCAGCCAGGGGTGACCCCGCAGCCCCCCGCAGCCAGGGGTGACCCCGCAGCCCCCGCACCCAGGGGTGACCCCGCAGCCCCCGCACGCACAGCCCCGGCCGTTGTCCCTCACGAGCGGCTCCAGCCGCGTGTCCCTCATGATGTCCCTCCACTCCACCGTGTCCACGTGGCACAGCTGCGCGTTCTTCTCGATGTACACCCCCCCCGCCAGGATCTCTGCGGGGACACGGGCGACACGGGTCACGGGGGGGACAGGGATGGGGACAGGGGGGAC